CGTCTACGGAACTAGTCAAATATTTTGAAGCAAATTTTGGAATCGATGACGACAAACTAGACATCTTACAGTAGTGGAAGAGCAAGATAGATCATTTTCCAACACTGTCCATAATAGCTCGTGACATTCTGACAACTCCAGTGTCAACGGTAGCATCGGAGCAAGCTTTTAGCGCAAGCAACCGAATTCTTGACGAGAAGAGAAGCAGAATGCATCCAGATATCTTGGAGGGACTAATGTGCGTTAAAGACTGGGAAGATGCCAGAAGACGAAAACAACAATACACAGATGATTCGATGCAAGAATATTTTTCTAACTTAGAAATAACAGAATCTTCTGGAAGCACTTAGGTTTGTAATTTACTATTCCTAGCTACTGTACTCTTTTTTCCTTCGCTAAGGTTTTGTCCCGATCTCCCCACGGGTTTTACTTAGCAAGGTTTTTAACAAGGCAGTCATTTACGTGTACTCCTATTACGTCAATTCAATAAAATCACATCTTTTGGGGCATTTGATATTTTTTTTAATTAAATTTAAAAAAAATCAAGGGCCTGGGCCCAGGCCCGGCCCTGGCCCTTATGGACTAGGGCCAGGGCCTGGACCGGGCCTGAGTTTTTCTTCTCAGGCCCGGCCCAGGCATGACCCTGCACTGTGTAGGGCCGTGCCTGGCACGACCCAGGCCCGTGATGGGCCTGGGGTCAAGCGTGCCGTGCCGGCCCGACACGGCACGTTTGACAACTCTAGTATGACCAATCAATATCTATATCATCATCGTTGCTTTGGTAAGGATGACGTATAGACCTCACTATTAGGATTTAGAATGTATAGTAGTTGAAGTGTTCAAATGATTAGAATATGCGAGCGGCCCCATAAACAAAGATGTGTTTTTGAAATTTTCTATTTCCATTACTTCATAGTTAATACTACCATCCCAAATACCAGTGAGAGTTCCAACTTGAGCTAGTAAGCCATGAGTTCCATCATAACATAATAATAAATAAATAAAGGATTTAAAAAGAAAATTAAAGAAGATAAAAATAAAAATATAATTAGAAATTGCAGTGGATGATCTTTTTTAAAGCATACTAAATCATGTCCATGGTTTTACTAAACTAAAAAAAAAATGTCTTTTTTTTTTTAAATATGACTTTGTAAATTGATGATTGATTCTTGGTAGATTATAGATAATTGATTAATAGTTACCAACAAATGGTTTAAATTATTATCGATTTTCAATGAAGATTTCAAATAATTATTAAATTCTTATAAAATCGACATTTTTGTAATTAAAGCAAATATCTGTTCAAATATATGGTTAGCCTGAACACCTACCAATCAGACGATCCTTGATGTTACTTAGATTGGATTGTTGTATATTGTGGACTTAGAAATTGCAACAGTGCACATAAGAACAGTGATACGAGAAGATTGAAAGTCTATTATATATATGAACACGCCCGTTGCATTTCTGGATATGTTAAAACCTACACTTACTGCACTGGTTTATGAAGAATAAAAAATAAAGAGTGCGTTTAGAATTAATTTTTATTTGTTTTTTGAAAACGTTTTTGCACGTCTTCGGAGGCGCGAAAATAAAAACGATTTGCAAACCGTATTTGTTTAGCAAATATTTTGAAAATGAAAACGAAAATAAAAAACAGTGAGAATAATTTTTGCGAAGGAAATAGAAAACGATTAAAACTTATTTTTCCCTTTTTATTTTTATTTTCTAATACTTATCAATAATGTTATAATATATTAATTAATAATTATAACTAAATACGATTTTATTTTTTTATTATACTTAAAATAATCTCTTAAAAAACTAACTAAATATAATTTCAGAATCGGTCCTATAATAATTCTCAAAATAATTTTATTTTTATTTTTGTATTGAGAATAAAATTATTTTAAAAAGGTTACCAAACGGGCCTAAAACCACTGCTCTTCCGGCTTTTGCAGTGGACAATCCCATTCTCTAGCTTCTTGCAAAGAAAAATATTTAATATTTAGTTGAAAGTTGAAACCTCTATACAGTGACCGAAACTGAGTGTGCGGTGTGCATGCAGGATTGCCCCAACGGAAAGTTAAGCCCAAAGATTCAAGCATCCGAAAATTGGGCCAAGCTCGTATTTTACCCATAGACTATTAAGAAGGAGAAAAAAAAAGAAGAAGAAGAGAAAATTGTTGGATGAGTCTAGATTTTTACCTTTTATTTTTTATTAATACTCTTTTTATTAATATAGTTACTTGACTAAAAAGAAAATATTAATAAAGAATATAAGGTAAAAATCCAGACTTATACACTTTAAAGGGTATTTATCTCTCTTCCCTTAGAAAATTCGCAAAGAGAATGCCATATCATCACCATGTTTAAAATATGATCAATATCGAATATAGTCCTAATAGTATTCTACCAAGATGTCAATAGTAATAATCGGTAATCGCCGGTATCCTATCATGATATTTGTTGATAGTGTCCCATATGATGTTGAAACGATCTAGCAACTAGTAGCAGCCGGACAGTAATTTTCGGTATCCTCCCATGATGCTCTGCGGTTATGGACAAGAGATTTTGGTATCCCTAGTATTAAAGATTACGAAAGCTATAAAGGGCACTTTTGTCGTCCCGACGATGCATTTAACAGGACAACTTTCGCCAGTTCTAGTACATGTGACGCCCCTAATATATTTATGAAATAAGTTGAAAACCAATTACAGCAAGTAAATAAACTCTGCAAGTATTTTAGTAGTGGGTATAAAATATAAGAATCAATCCTATGTTCACTCATTTTTATCTTAGAACGTTAACAAATGAGATTGGTAATGGGACTCTCGATCTTATAGTTTACATGATTTCGATAAGTATATAATTTAATTTCTTAAATCAAAAAGACAAAATTTAATCGACGGTTATATGAGTAAATTTACTTCTTAATCCCACTCGTGTCTCTCCTGAAAGGATAATAATTCTCACCATCTCAGCAAAACACCAACACATATTGCTAGAACTACAGCCTAGATTAGTCAGTTTTGGTATTTTGTTGTTTGTGGGATCAAAGCGACCTAAATTAAATTCAATTGAAAGGTAGAAGCGATTGAAAATAATTATAGGTAATCTTCAAAGAAAGAGAAAAAAAAAAAAAAAAAAAAAAAAACAATATGCGACCAAACTCCAAAAAGCCCACACGACTCTATCAGTCTTATTAAAGAGACAATATTTGTTATTAACGTTATATATAGCAGCTGCAAAAATCAGCTTGGATTGCACTCCTCTGAGAAAGAATTGTCCTTAAGCTGCTCTGGCATTGCGTAGCTCGTCAACCGAGTCCCCTCTTTCTAACACAGCTGCAGCTCCCATACCAGACCCTGCCAAAATGAACATATAATTTGTTGTTCAGCCAAATCACTAAATATCTTTGTTATTTTCACTCAATGTTGTCGAGAGTTTTGGACAGAAAGAGACCTATGCACATGGAGATGATGCCAAAGCGACAATCCTTCCCGCGCCGCTTCATCTCATTCAGTAGAGTTGAGACCGAGCGGGCACCTGACACCGACCGGAGCACGTTAACTTTAGGAAACTAAAGTCAAGTGAGGGTAAAGATTCAACCGCGATAATGCAAAAATTCTTTAAAGGTAGAACATGAGTTTACTTTTTCTTTGGATGATCAAGTATGCTGCATACAAGTGTGTGCTTGTGTAGAGTCATATACATTGGTTTTAAGTGGCAAAAACAGTTGAAATAGATGGTAGTTTAATTTATGTGCTGGGAAGTTTTCGGATTGTATATACCTGTAGCACCCAAAGGATGACCAAGAGCAAGAGCGCCTCCGTTGACGTTGACTTTCTCAGGATCAAGCCCCAGTTTCTTAATGCAATACACGTATTGAGAAGCAAAGGCCTGGAGGCAAGCAAAGAAGGTTGGTTAGCCATAAATGTTTAAAAATTATGCAATCAGCTTAGCCCTAGAACATCTGTTACCTCATTAATCTCAAACAAATCGATATCATTAAGCTCAAGACCGGCAGACTTCACAGCAGCCGGGATCGCAACAGCTGGACCTATGCCCATAACAGCGGGATCAACGCCAACAGCAGCAAAACTCCTGCAAGAATGTGCAAAGTTGTATGTTGAACGAAACATAAAAAGAAAGCTCCCAAGGAAATTCATTTTTACAATTTATCTGTACACTTCTAACCCACCTGGTTATGAATACGTTGTTTGTCAGCGTACAATTGAAGCTCCAAAGCTCAATCATCTTTGTATAATAATAAGGTTTCAACTAAAAAATATATTATGTGTGGGTGTGTGTGTGTGACTCAGGATAATCATACACCTCATACCTGAAGACACCAAGAACAGGCAGCCCCTTCTTTATAGCCAAACTTCTCTTCATGAGAAGAACTGCTCCAGACCCATCACTCACCTGACTAGCATTCCCTGAAGAAAGAAAAAAATGTTAAAATGTAAAACGCCAAATCAAAATGCTAATAAAAAAGACGCAAAATAAAATAGAAATTCACGACTTGAACGGAACTTCATGACTATATCGTAATACCTGCAGTTGTAGAACCATCCTTCCTGAATGCAGGCTTCAGCTTTGCCAAATCATTCAAGTTTGTATTTGGCCTGACTCCCTCGTCCACAGAAATTATAACAGGCTTCTCCTCTCCAGTTTTTGGGTCCACAATCTGATGTAGACAATATCATCAATATCCAAAACACCGGAAAATGTAGAATTACCATGGGGGAAGTTTTGCCTTTACCTTGGTAGAAACCGGGATAATTTCTTCTTTGAATTTACCAGCAGCGATTGCCGCAGCAGCACGCCTATGAGATTCAACCTACACACATTTATTCAAGTCATTACAACTACTGCATTATGCTTCTGTATCTGTTGTTAATGCAACTTAAATTAACAGTTTATATGTGAGACTTACAGCAGCCTGGTCTTGCTCCCGCCTGGTCACGCCATAACGTTCTGCAACGTTTTCAGAAGTCATACCCATTGGAAGAAGACAGTCGCGGGCTTGTGTAAATACTTGTAGCTGTTAAGACCACAACATTCAGCCAACAAAACCATTTTCTCCGGCTTAGTTTTATCCTTTCGAGCAGGAAAAACAAAAATGTGAAAAATGAGAACACGAATAGCTATGAGTCTGTGGCATACCCTCGGGTTCTTGGCAACGTGCTCCGATAATGCCATACTGTCTATTGTCATACACTCCACTCCAGCTCCAATACCTGCATCCACAAAAGAATATCAGTTTGTTGACGAAGGTCATCAAGAGAGGCACAAGTTTCATAAAACTTCACTCACCAATGTCATAATATCCTGCTTTTATTGAAGCAGCAATATCAGCAACTGCCTGAAGACCCGACGAACATTGCCGGTTGACTGTTCTGACAGGCACCGTATCTGGAAAAACGAGATTAATCAAATTCCAAAGTCATGGACTTTATACAATCTACTGAGGCAATTATACCTAATTAAAGGGAAGTATCCTCTCTGATTCATGTTTTATCTTTATGACAAAGGATGATTAACATTAGAATCGTAACATATATGGCCATGTGATATTGTTAGATCCATAAATATGCATAATTGGAACAAAAGTTAATCGTGATGAATAGACTAAACAAATCATAAACTTACCAGGGATACCAGCATAGATTGCTGCCATCCTGCATTCAATTGCTCTTACTGAGCCAGGTGCCAAAACTGTGCCAACAACAATATCCCCTATTTCGCTCGGGTCCAAATTTGTTCTCTCTATCACAGCCTACATTGAGAACCCATTAATTTTAAATCAAGGGAATAATCACTATTTTATTATTATTAATATTATTATTAAGGAAAACTACTTAGAAACTCCTGAAGATTGTCTCACTCCACAATTTCTAAATCTAGAAATTGTTTCAGTTTGCACCTTCCGTCGCATTTCCCCGAATTTCTGAGACAGAATTCGTCATCTTCCATCCAAAAATCAACAAAATACAATGAAAAGTGCAAAGCTGAGACAAATTTTCAAGTTCGGCTGCATAAATAAAATTAACCGTGTGTTCCGAACTAAAACTGAGAACAAGAAATTCTTTAGGCCTGATATCAACAAATGCTTCCTAACCTTCAAAACAGCAGCGAGTAGATCATCAACCGGAGTGTCCTTAAAACCCCCTCGCTTTGCTTTGCAAATAGCAGTTCGACATGCCCTGTTCGATTATTAAAAAGCATATTGAGAGAACATCATCAAAGTGAAAAGATATACATAAAAACACAAGTCAAAAACTTCATTTTTCTTGGATCAAAGAGAGAAATTTACGCGACAATAACAATATCATCCCCGAAAGCAGCAGTCCTTTGGTACGCACCACTCTGACCAGCCGCGCATATCGAAGCCTACAAGACATTCAAACATTAAAAATTGCAGATCTGTAGATGAGAAAGATTATTCAAACGCAACTTCAAATGTATATCAGACAACAGAATCGAGAAATCTAAAAGAAACCAGAACGAGGAACTACTACAATATTAGGCTTGTATTGTAGCAAAGGAAGTGAAACTCACGGAGAGAGAAGCAGTATCGTTGGTTTGAGAAGAAGTGGGAGATAAATGTTGAAGAAGAACTCTCTGTCTTTCAGCCGCCTTCTCCATTTATGGTGTCCGCAACTCTGGAACAATTGTCTTCCTTACAAGTTCCACTATAGTTCGTGGAGGGACAAATTATTATTATGTGTGTATGTATATATACACACACACACACACATATATATATATATATATATATATATATATTGTGTGTGTATGCGAATCAGCCGAATCTTGACTAACAAGTGGTGGTTGTTTGGAGAATGCCCAAAGGTAAAAATGGGATTAGGAAAATTTCAACCAATCAAAAGCGGTCAACGGAGAATTGACCCTGGAAATGCAAAGGTTAATTTCCGCAAAAATAAAAAATAAAAATAAAAAGACGAATAGGAGGATTGTTGCGGTTGTCTTTTTACGAGAAAGATCGCACTTCACGTTCACCTCGTGCGTCTCGAGTCAATATATTATTATTATTTTTTTAATGGTATTAATATTTTATTAAGCATTCAAGTTAACAATCTTGTTTTTGTTTTTTCACCGTCCAAAATATTCGATCTTGTTTAATATTTTATTTTTCAAGTATCCCAACCGTCCAAATTTAGCATTTATTTCATGCGAGGATCCGACAAAATTTTTCTGTCTTTTGATTATATAGATATTCTCTAATAAAAAAATGTATTATTTATTTACCTTCATATTGGTAGGTATACCTCCGCCTACCTACTTCCTTTAAAATTTTAAAATCCGACGCTTTTTGTGCACTTTTTTTTTCTCAGAGATGCTTTCATATATATTTAAAAATGCTTTTGGATTCCTTCAAATAAAGGAAAAAGAAAAAAAAAAAAAGATTATTTGGAGAGTCGGGAGAATTTGGGTCTGCGAGAGAGAACAGTCTGCCCTTGACTCCCAAAAGTTCGATAACATCACTCTTTTTTTTTGCTCTTTAATGGCAATCTTTTACACAATTACACCTACTTTTACTTTCTTTTTTTTTTCTCCATACCTTTTACACCTACTTACTTCTCTTTCCTTTCTATCTTTAACTCTCCTTTTGGAAATTGGGCCCCAACATCATTATTGACAGAGTTGTCAAAGACGGAGCCCAACCCTTGTAGTAGCGGAGCTGGGCTCGTGGACTCTAACTCCACTCCATTTTCTTTTCTTCTTCCTCTTTCTGTGCGTTGCTTTCTTCGAACGCAAGCTTTAATTTTGCTTTTTGACTGTGTTTTTTTCCCCTTAAGCTGTTCCAAATGCCTTTTTTTTTATGGGTTAATTTTATTTTTGAACCTCGAGTTATATAAGTTTACGGCCTGTTTAATTTGCTGATTCGAATTTTTAATTTGAATTGAAATGTGATTTTATGTGAAAATTTTTTATTGTAGTAAAAAGATTAGATGTGATTGTTTGTGAGAGTTTTATACTGTAACAAAACTCAAATTTTAAACTCGAATAAACGAAATGAACAGAGCCTTATATTTCGTTCATTTCACCAATTTTAATTTTTAATTTTAGGTTTATATTATTAAAAACTCTTAAAAAATATTTAATTTTTTTTTGTTACAGTTAAAAATTTAAAAAAAAATGTCACATCTCAATTTAAATTTACAAAGTGAACGAGACATTAATAACATCTTGGTAACTTGTACCATTAATCCTCTATTTACCGAGTTGTCTAAAAGTAGTCCCTACATTCATGTAGCTGTTGGTTGGAGCTCCACCATTTCTTCGTTGCTTGATGGGGTGTGGTGGCTGTGCTTGAAATTTTTTGTCCTTTATTTTTTATAGGAATTTTGCTTGGTAGGTATGAGTGCTAAAACATATGTCCTGTCCCAACCGAATTACAAATGAAAATTTGGCAACTTATGATTTTGAAAACTGAGAACCAGTTATAAGTTTTGGTTTTGAAAACTAAGAATTAGTTACTAATTTTGGTTTTATAGGGGGAAAAAAATGATTTGGCGTCTTGTGGTTGTCCTCCAAAAACTTCCACTTCCATGACTGATTATAAAGCTTGACCTGCTCAGGGCCTATGATTTTTTTTTTGGTTCCCTTTGGTTTCGTCGCCTTCAAAGCTTTAGAAGTTTGGCACGAGCTTAGTATTTGTTATTACACTGCGAAATGTTTTAACAACCTTGTACATGACATTCACGTGCTTTCTAACTCGGAACAATGATAGATCAAATGATCAATGATGAGAAGTTTTAAAAACTTTTCAAAAGAAAAAGAAAAAAATTTAAAAGACCAAAATAGGATCAAGCCAATAAAAAATAACCAACTTTTGCCCCCTTTTTTTACTTCATTACTATTTCTTAAACACGCGTACAAGCACTCTTTGGCAAAAAAAAAAAAATTTTCGGCCTAGTTCTTTCACTACTCATTTTTATTTTATTTTGCCCGATTTGTGTTTGCTCTCATATTTTCTTCTGTCAAGCCTTCTGCCTTCCCCTATCGGAGTCCTCAGACCTTACTGCAGACAAAGTAAGCCTTTTTTTTTTTTTTTTCTTTTGCCCTTCCTTTTCTCTGCCCTTCTTTTCCTAGCTTTTATGGTATTTATTTTCATTTTCTTTTTTCGGTTAGCGGAAATGGGATGGTCTTTTTTCTTTCTTTTTTTTCCTTCTTTTTGGTGCAACATTAAGTGATGAGAAAAACATTCTAATAGGTTGAAGATGAAAAAGTTTGCGAATTTGAAAGCACTCATCCATGAGCTAATAAAACTGGTTTCAGCTGCATCAACGGTTTGGCTTCCTCAAGATTGATGGAGAAAATGCATGCGAATAAGCTATTATATTCAAATTAAATCACTGAATTCTTGTCTAGATTAGGCTTTATATTAATTCTGATCCAGTGGACACGCGCGTTTTACTACTTGGATAGTTATCGTGTTTTGTTATAGTTGGTGCCATTGGTATTTTCTAATTTTGTTCTTGTTTTCTGCAAATATTGATCATTGTTCTTTTCATCAACTTTCATAGAAGAGTGTAGTGGGATAAGACAGCAATCCAAAAACTAGCTTTCCTGGACAATTTTTTCCCAAGAAATTGTTCATGATTTGCTTGGAATATGCACTGGAAATATTGAGATCTTTTTATTTATGGCGTGCAAATTTTCTTTACCTACTTTTTCATGTAGAGTTGTGTAAAAGAGAAAAATTCAACTAGCACCGCTTTCTTTTGTTTTGATGTTTACAACTTGTACTCTACTCAACTTGCGCCTATGTGTCCATTTATTCAATCAAATTTTGTTTGTTTTGATAACGAGTAGCACGAAACATGCACAAGGTCTTTTGTGTGTGCACATGCACAAGGTCTTTTGTGTGTGCGCGTGTGTGTGATAATCACAAGGTCATGATTCTGTGAATAGAGTATCTGCATCTTTTGTGTGGACAAGTTTCATGAGCAATTGGAGGTTTGTTTGGACGGTGCAAAAGAACAATTGGAGCTAGTGAAATGCTCTCAATTGGAGGCGTAGGACGCTTGTTTGGATGGCGTGAAGGAACAATTGGAGCTAGCGAAATGCTCTCAATTGGAGTCGTCGGAGGCTTGCTTGGACAGAGGGAAAGAACAATTGGAGCAAGCGAAATGCTCTCAATTGGAGGCTTGTTTTGACAGTAATCAAGAATAATTGAGGGCCCGTTTAGTTCATTGATTCGAGTTGAAATGTAACTTTATGTGAGCTTTTTACTGTAGCAAAAAATTAGATGTGACCGTTTCTGAGAGCTTTTTACTATAACAAAACTCAAATTTTAAACTTAAATTGGTGAAATGAACGGGCCTGAATATCCACTGCAACTATTCATAAAAATTCATTAAAAAAATCCTTCAAGATATAAAAAAAGAGGGCAAAAAAAGGGAAGTGTAGAACAGAAACTTCGGAGCACATAAACTAGCAATGATACTCTTATGTTTTTCCGTGTATATATACATAATATAATATGGACGCGTTTCTCCAGAAAAAAAAAAAAAAGGAAAAGAAAAACGTGATACTAAACTAAACAAAAAGGCTCTAGATCGTCTCTGCATCACTCGCTACTCTGATCTGATGTTTTTATGTAGAGGACAAAGAATAAACAAATGAACACATCTTTTATAAACATTGGGGGAAGAAGAAAAACAATAGACCCATTAAATTGCAAGGACGGTCCCCCAACAAAATTGCTGATCCACAGCCCAATTACTATTCAATGAGGCTTATCGACGAGCCCAGGTAAATGAAGTTGGAACTCTTGTGCTGTGCATATACATATTTACGTTTGTTTACTCACCGGGACATGTTAGGCTTTGACCACTCTTGTCGTGTTGTTCTGTGCCTTTGCTTGAAGCGCAATAGACATAGACCGCAACCTGTTAGTAATCTCGGTGAATGATGGCCGACTTTCAGGTTCCGGCGACCAGCACTCTTCCATTAGCTTCCTCCAATTAGGATCACAGCGTTCGGGAATAGGAGGTCGGAGAGTGTTCTTCACAATCCCCCCTATAATGCAGGTTACCCACATAAGAAAAATAAAATTGAAAAGAAGCATCAGTGCTTATTTGGTATGTAATTCTTAGGCGAACACGGGAAAGTAAACATGCAGAAACAAAAGGGAACCAAAAACTCCGGAGCTAATTCTACGATCCAGTTAAAATGGCAGGGACAAGGATATTAACTTACCAATGATCGCACCACAATGCATATTTGCATAAGGTTCTTCCCCGGTCAATATCTCCCACATCGAAATGCCAAATGAGAAAACATCAACCTGTCAAAATTGAAATCGTTGTGTTGATCGCTTTGCCAAAAAAATAATTTGTTTCTTTTAGATACGTAGCAAAGTCCTACCAACCTTCTCAGAAACCCGGCTGCTGCTACCATTTAAAAGTTCCGGTGCCATCCATGGAAGCGTTCCTCGCACTCCACCAGATACCAGAGTATTGCGTTTGATTCTCGACAATCCAAAATCTCCAACCTACAGAAAAGATGCTTAATTATCAAGATGTCCAATAAGTAAGCCTGGGAACTTGGAAACTAAATATATCTAGAAAGCCCCCGGTGCATCAAGATACGGCTCCCAGCTAACTATAATAGGAAAATGGATAAACTTTCCACTTAAATCAATTTATGCCAGAGTATCATCAGGACACTTCAGAAAGTAAGTTGGGAGTATACTATCTCGTTTCTCAATAGACTTTTTCATTCTTTTATGCCTTTCAACCCTGCTGAAAGCAATATGTAATCATGAAGCAGCATTATATCCTTCTTTGAACATGTAAATTGGCATTCTGAAATATTTACCTTGCATATAGGTCGTTGTGGATCCCTTAGGTTGACTAACAAGTTATCACATTTCAAATCAAAATGGACAATATTCTTTGAGTGCAAGTATTCCATGCCGAATGCTGCATCCATGGCAATTATAAGCTTTCTACGACGATCAAGTGATCTGCTCCATGTTCCAAGAAACGTATAAATAACAGCAGGAATCAGATATGTTGTGTAAAAGAAATGAAGCTGAATTACCTATCCTTCTTGAGTAGGACATGCCTAAGTGATCCATTCACCATATACTCAGTTACGGTTGCCAAGGTTCCTCCAGTTCCATCTGGTACTACCCCGTAAAATGCAACCACATTTGGATGATGAAGGTTTGAGAGGATCTGTGCCTCTCTCCAGAAGTCTTTTGTCTGATATAGCCACGACAAAAAGGTTCAGCTCGAAATACGGACAACTAATATAGCAATTTGTTTTAAAAAAAAACAATTAACAGACAAGTTTAACTTTTCACGCAAGACATAAATTTTTATGTTCAATGATTATATAAAATTTAGCCACACACAATTCTCGTATGCCAGATAAAATCAACATTCTTTTTTGGTGAACATTTATCGTTGAATACATATAACTCACAACTAATGTCTGAAGCATTTCCTAAAATCTCAATGACAATTAAACAAGTAGAATTTCCAAAACAAGTAATCATCATTTGGCGGATGTGGTGTGTGGAAGATATAAGGGTAAGCGAAAAAGAATGAAAATGCACTGCGAAGAAATTAACAAATGGACCCACCAATCGTTCTTGCTCGGAAGATCTCCCAGAAAAACAGCTCTTCTTAATTCTCTTTATAGCAACATCTGATCCCCTCCATTTTCCATGATAAACGGTACCATATGTACCGGATCCCAACTCTCGTAGTTCTTCAAGATCAGCATTTCTTATAATCTGGACATAAAAGTTGTATAATTCAGTTGCATGTACAACCACAAGTTTGATAAATTTTCTGGAGTTAACAGTTGGCTTCATTTGCATTAAGAAGTTGCTCTCTTACAGAAAAGCTAGTTAATATGAGAAACAACCTACCAAATGATATAAAAGGATAATTCTCACTTCTTCATAGTCTATACAAAACTACAAAAAGAAGTCAACTGCTAAAATTTTGAAAGCTACTTAGTGCAGGAGAACTACTTTCAATGTTCAGCAACAAGACCGAGAAATCACCTGAGATAGATCATAATTAATGATTGCATATGTCAGATGAGTCATAAAGGCTCCAGACAGAAAAATATAACATTTCTTATAAACACATACAATGTTGTACACACGGTATGCAAGATATTGTGATGTCATAAACAGAAAAGCCAGTATACAGTCAAGTTGAAAGTAAGAAGTGGTGAAAAACCTGTAAGCCATAGATGCTGGCTTCCATTTCAGCTATCATTGCATCACTAAATGGTTCATTCTTGTCTCCGTCAGTTTTGGCATCCTATGGAAGGAGGGGAAAAAAAATCACTCCCAGAAGAAAATGCATAATTTTCTATTTTTGGTTTTAGAACTCCAGATGAACTCGAATTTTACCTCAGAATCAGTCTCTGGAACAATGCTATCTACCTCTGTTGCAGCAGGGGATATAGCATCACCACTGGTTTCATCCGTAACATATTGCGTCACTGCCACTGACGGATTGTTATGATTACTAGAAAGATTCATTTGCACCAACGTGATATCTTCCATGTTAGACTTCAAATCAGTAGAAACTCCAAAGTCAATCTCTTCGAAATTCTGATTGGGGTAGCTTACAAAGTCCATATCAAGGAGGGAAACCTCTCGCTTAACTGCACTATCTTGGCTTGGATTTTGCACCACCTGGTCACTCTTTGGCAAATTGGAGCTTATACCAGGACCAGCATTAAGTGGTAATTGAAACAAATTTACAGAGGTTGTCAGCATGGGTTCAGAAATCACATTACTAGCAACAGGATGAAGCTGTGTAGGTTCACGGAGTACCGGATCACTGCATAATCCAGTCAAAAGATCACCCAAAGGGTTTAGACCATGATGGGGTTGTCCGGCAGTTGGATATAAGCTTGAAACTTCAGAGTTCATAGCCTCCACAACATTGCTTTGTTGACCGTCCATTTTCCCATTCATAGCACAATCCTGATCAGCAGCATTTTTTTGACTCATGGGAAGGAGTTCAGAGAGAGTATTGTCACATTGGGGTTTTTTGGGATGCTCCGTCAAGCCATCTACCAAAGGCAATAAATCAATGCCTGAGGATACAGGAAGCCTCTCCTGAGAGCCAATAGTAAAAATTGTACTTGGATTTGGGGTAAGACGGTCCAAATTGTTCGTGCATTCCATTCCAGCTGCAGCTAAACTTCCTTCACAAACCTTTTCATCTTGATCCAAGAAAGGATTTTTCTCATCACGCCTCTTAACCATTCCCAAACTCAAAGAATCTTCCTCAGACTGATCCAGTAACGTGGAATTAGATTCACTAAGGTTGTCTTTAGCTGTTTGGAAACTGTTATGAATGTCACCAGTACCCTTGAGAGTAGGTTCATTCCAGCCCATTGATTCTATAGACATAGAAGAATTTGACAAATTTCTACCTTGCAATCCAACGGACTCATCATCAAGTAAGTTGGTTTGTATAGGATTGAGAACATTAATGTTGCCATGCAATTGGGACGTCGTTTCTTGCAGGGCACCTGAGTTCAGTAGCAAAGACAACTGAGCCTTTGCATAGGCCAAGGGAGGTGATGCGCTCACTCCTTCTTGTGAACAGTATGCAGACTTCCTTCCGCTCTCTTGCAGTTTCGAATCAGAAAACGCATGTGGCATTCCCTGATGAGAATCACCATAGTCTGACAATAAACCTGTTAAATCTTCTGGGCGAGTACTTGGCTTTTCAGAATGAAATATCCTTTCCTTGTGCACTTGTTTGTCATGGGAGAATATATCAAACTCGCCATCATTTTGACCAACAGCTGAAGGTCTTATAAACTCTTTGCTGGGATTGTGGTCCTGAAATTTTCCTCCATGCAACTGCTCTAACTGCGTAAAACTAGGCTGGTGATAATTCATCAAACTTACTGCCTCTGGATTTACCCTGCCAATATTAGTGCTGGAGTTCTGAAGTGGTAATTGTGTAATCACGAGAGAGCAGTTGCTCTCATTACTACCTCTATGCGAGCTATTATTACCATGTGATTTTTTCTGAATATTCTTGGAGTCTCCTTGAGGGCATAGAACTGGAGAAAATGGAGGAGATTGAGTTGGGGATACATTTATATTCAGGGATTCTGAAAACTTATTAGGATTCAAGGCATTAGAATCGCTATTAACCTCTGTAGGAAATTGGGAAGTCTTAGCTCCCACTTGACTTGCTTCCTCTCCTGCCCTAGGACTAGGGTCTACCATCCCATTCACAGCAGCAACATATTGGTAGTCTTGATTGTTCTGCTGTTTGGTGCTTGCCTCAAGAGATGCATTTTCAGATTCACCCAAGGGAATCAAAAAGATCCGCAGCCTCTGAGAACCATCTTGCCTTTCAATCCCATTGTATTCCTCTATCATATTTTGAAGATCCTCATCAGAAGACACTGAAATAAGAGCATCAAGATCCTCACCTGGAAGCTGGTACTTTATGACATGTGGTTCGTTGCAAATGCTGGAAGTTTTCTTGACAAGCTCATCCCATGAAATATTTTTCCTGATGGAGACAATACGCGTCTCTCCCCCAACATATCTCAATCTCCCATCACTAGGCCTCGGCAAAATTTTTCCACCAAAACTGCAGAGAAATTTTACCTTCCCAGACTGTGAGCCATCTGATACTCCTGAGCCGTTAATGTTGTTGGAATTAGGGGATTCAGATTTGTAGCTGGGTGGAACATTGGTTCCACCAGTCTGGTCACAATTCAGGTCACTGAAAGCCTTCCTTAATCCATGTCCGTTATCACCATTCTCCTTGTTGCTTCTGCTTCGTTTATCAACATAAGCTTCAACATCAACCTCTTTAGAAGACCCTTTTGCAGAGACAAATTCAGATGTTTCAGAAGCACACTCTGAATCCATTCTCCTCAACCCCAGGATACGAGTAAGGTCCTCATAGGCCAGTTGAGAGTTCTGATTACCATTAATCCCAGCCTTCTTTTCCCGGTCCTGGACCATATCAGCTACCGCAGTAACTCTCCTCACCGGAAGACGATCTTGAAGAAACTCCTTGGAAAATTCCTCGCCAGTCTGTACAGAGATGTTGTTATGTACATTCTTTATCACAGTTGGAACAATCGGGGTTGATTCTTGGCCGATCCAACGACCCGATGGACCAGGAACCTCATTGGTCATGGAATCAAACAAGTTGTCAGGCCTGTTTAGCGCCATAAAGAACACTTCTCAGCTTTGAGCTGCTATATCCTTTCGACCCAGAAATCAAGAACATGTAACCTGATCTCCCTGTCAAGAGACTGTACCCAAAACTTCCACTTAAATTTCTTTCCCAAATAGTCATTGAACAATTTACTTCTCGAGGAGAAATTAAAATTAAAACGAATAATAATCATAATTAAATTTTTTTTTTAAAAAGGAAAAACTTAAAAGTCAAATCAACAAACCTTGCAAATCATCGCCCTAGCTTCAGAATCGGTTCCTTACTGATATGTTCTTCTCTCCAATCCCACCCAAAATCAAAAATTTTCACACGAAAGAATTTAAAAAAAAAAAAAATATATATATATATATATATACACTCTATCTAGAAGCTCGGTTTGACTGTACAATCCTCACGAAACAAAACTTGGATCCTTCACAAAACAGACGAGAACTACACAGAAACCAGCAAATAAAAACAATTCAATTCCCTTATCTTCAATAACTCCTCGCCTGCAACAGCATCAAAGATCCAAAACGAAAATTCAGAGAATTAACCACTTAAACCATTCAGATTCAACAGAATTTCCATCAAAACCTTGAAATCACCAGCCAAACAGATCGAGAACAAACAGACGGACGAAAGATCAATCAGCATATCACGATTAGGAGTAAATTACGCCCAGTATAATCGAGAAGCTCGTCAACTATCAAGCTTCAAACGATCAAAATCGACGCAAAAGAAAAACCATATAGAAAACGAAAAAGAGAGAGAGAGAGAGAAAGAAAAGAAAAACTGAATACCTGATTTTTCGCACGCTCTAGAAAGCCATATCTCTCCATCGGAGCTACGTGGCGGAGCTTCAGAGCAGCCATTGGCGTGGAAATCGGGCCGATCGGCTCGGAGAATGAGAAGAATAGGAAGTTGGGGATTGGAGATTTGGGGAAGGAGAAAAGAGAGCGTGGCTTAGGCGCACAGGTTCAATCTCGGGCGTCGGAGAGCGACATTGCCGAGAATTAAGCGGCATCGACACAAGGGAATGCCTTTTAACTGTTACGAGAATATTTTTTTGAGTTTTCCTATATTTCTTCTTTCTTTCTTTCTTTTTATTTTTTAATTATTTATTATTATTTATTTTGCCCTGTTTTTTTATTCTATTTTATGAATATTCATTCACTCCGACGTGGCCTCCCATTCTCTTCGGACTTTTGATCTTTGATTAGATCATGCATACGTGGATAATAGTTTCCCCCTTTTTTCTTTTAGTAAAGTTTTCCCAACGTTTAATACCAGAAAATTTTTTTGATGGTCCCCCCAATCTCCTTCGAAAGTCTTTTTTACATAAAATGATGGAATTTAATTTCGCCTGAATTTAAGGTTTTTCTGTTGAAAACATTTCTCATTAAAGACTCATTTTAAAGGTATACTTAAATTATGATTTTTAATTCTAATATTTGTAATTTAAATTTTTTATGAGAATAATAAAATTAATTATTTAAATTTGAGTATAAGAAATAATTAATTTTTACATAAAATGAAGTGAAGATTAGTAACTTTTCATCACAATTGTGTAGTTTAATATCCTTTTCAATACAATTAAATGGCTTCACTTGAAATTTCTCCAAAAAAGAAAAGACTTAACTGAATCTTTGTTTTATTTACAATGGAAATAGATTCCAATTTATGATATTCTTTTGTGGAAATTTTAGTACGTACACCATATATAATAAAATAAAATATTTTTGTTGTAAGAAATTGATCTGTTTTACCGGAAGAAACAAGACTTTTGTACTTTCTATATTTTATTCATTTTCTGGCTGATAAAAACGAATAATTCATTTATGTGTGGAAATTTATAAAAGGAAAATCCTTCTTTCCATTTTTTAATTTTTTTTTTCTTTTGGATTGGATGGAGTTGGAGTTGAAGTTGAACTGGCACACTAATTATAACTACAACTACGACAATAACGGTAAAGGCCATCATGAGTACGTAGAAGCAACAAATTCATCAATTAAAATATTTTCTGATTTGTTGGTGAGTTCTAATTTTTAGTTGTTGTCTTATAATTAAAATCAATATTCTTACCAATTTCAAGAGTTTTATATTACATGATGAATAAGGGGTTTGAACTATAAAAAATACAGCTTGATGAGTTGGAATTTGTACCGATTGATTTTGTCATTTGAAGCCATTTTTTATCCTCTTTTTTTTCACCTTATAATTTGTGGTTATCAAATTAAGTTGCACGCCCTGAATTCATGTAGAGATCTGTAAATTATTGGCACCATTGTTGGATCTGCCTAATATTTAGGCGGAAAAATCAATACGATATTTAGGAAATGTGCCACATGAAAAAAAAAAAAAAAAGTAAGAATTGACTTCTACCATTGTCTTAAGTAATGACTCGTTCATTTCACCGATTCGAGTTTTCAGTTTTAAGTTTTTACAGTAAAAATTTCTCAAAAAATGTCACATCTGACTTTTTCTGCTACAGTGAAAAACTCTTAGAAAATATCACATCTCAGCTCGAATTAAAAACTCGAATCCGCGAAGTGAACGGAGCCTAATTTTTGTTGTCATGTAACAGACTAAAGATTTAAACTAAAAAGTCTAACTATCCCTAAATAATCTGAGTAGGGTTTTTAATTTTATGTTCTCCTCTTTCTTCTCTCTCGTCTCCTTTCCCCATGCAACAGCCGCCGCCGCCATGCTTTCTCAGTGGAGCTCGATGTTGAGGAGCTCTCTCAAATCACGTCACCATCGCTGAGAAGCTCTTTGCCGCCAGTAGTGAACCATCGCCGTTGCGAAGAGCTCCAGCGACCTATAGTTCCTGGAGACCTCTCGTTCTTCTCACCATCACCGAGGAATCCTCCACCACCAAGTAGTGAGTCATCGTCGTTGTGAGGAGCTCCGCCACCAAATATGAAGCACGACGACCTCTCGTTCTCAGCATTGTATGATTCGCAAGAAATGGGAAAAACGGATCTCTTTCGTCGCGGCCGCCGCGCGGAGGAGATCTCTCACCGTCGTAGTCGTGTGGAGGAGATCCACCTCCTCCACGCGACGGGAGATCTCTCCCATATCAGCTCTCATGGACGGATGTGTGTGTGTGTGTGTGTGTGTTTTTTTTTTGTTTTGTTCATGTGATCTAATTTATGATGTTTTGTTAGTTTTTATATTTTGCTTTTTCTTTTTGGTGATTTTGCTTCCATTTGGAGGTCGCCGACAACGGTGGTTCCGGTGAATTTGGATGGTTATCGGACGATGAGTCGGTGCTTACCGATTGGTAACTGGTATCTTAGCACATATCAATTGATATCTTAACCAAATATCGGTGACTCGGTTGGCACCGATGGTTGGTAGCTACTGACGACCTCTATAGCCAATACTAGCAGTTGTCCACCGAGTATCGCCAGGTATTTCGGTTGGATACTAGTTTTGTGGCTGGGTACCGACAATCTCTCAGTTGAATACTGATATTTTGGTCGGAGACCTATCGGTATCCTAAGAGTATTTTTGGTATTCTAAACGCAGTGTGATAATGTAGCTGTGGTATTTTTTAAAACAATTTATGTCCCCAACGTATGTCAATGTAAACCTATAACCTGTAAGGTTTCTCTAAAGTGCCTTAAATTGATACACGAATGATTTTCTTTTTGCCCCCTTCAAGGCTTTTGTCAATATGAACAAAATTTTTATACCAAATATTATATATTAATATATGTATATATAATATAAATAACATTCATATTAATACATATATCTATCTAAAAAATACTTATATGTATGTTTATGTGTGAAATTTATTTCATCATATAAAGTAAAATAATTTGTTTATGTGTTTAAATGAGATTTGGGTTTATTTTTATTCTTTATAAAAAATTTATTATTTTAATATTAGAATCCACGTTTGTTTTCAAGATTATTATTATTATTATTATTTTGTTGTCAGCATGATAATTAAGTTGATTGTATTCGCCAAATGAATAAAATATAGAAAGTACAAGCACATGAGTCTGATGGTAGTGGTGGGCATGAAGATTAAGGCGTGTATAGTGACTACTCATGCCGTTTTGTTGTGGGTCCACAACTTGACGTAAATATGCTCTTACAGGGGATTTAGAGTCGTCCGTGTCCATATAGAGATAATGATAATTATGATATATTGTTATGTAATAATGTTTTAAAATTTTTCCTAACAAATATTTTAAATTGATCATATTAATGGGGAAGGTTTGTTGTATTCTGTTTGGAGACCTCAGTTGAACAGATTGTCATTAATTCTCATGTTTTATTTAATGCACAAGGTTGCGTTTTGGATATGTTTCCTTAAATTCAAGGGATGTAAATAGTTCCATTTCTAGACCAATTATTTTGCCATGTTATGTAATTTTACTCTTTTCAATGGCAGTATATATAGTCTCTATTATATAACCCACACATACCATTTTCTCCGGGCCACTTTTACATGAAGAGTGCATTTGGTGGATGAATTCAGAATCATGATTTTGGATCCTAATTCAGAATCAATATTTGTTTACAGTGATTTTGAATCATGATTCAGAATTAGTATTTAGTTTTGATGATTCTGAATTATGATTTGGAATCTGATGTGATGTTAACTAACTCAAATCATGATTCTAAAATCACCTCCCTCTTGATTTAAGGTGATTTGACGTTTGGTTCATAGATTCAGAACCATTATTTAAAACTATTCTCATTTTACGTGTGTTTTTTGTGAGAGAAAAACACTGTAGAGAACCATGAATCATGATTACGAATCAGGAACGAACACGTAAAACAAACGAGGTTTTAAACTAATGATTTTGAATCATGGTTTTAGAATCATGATTTGAACCCAAAATCATGAATCATAAATCTGGTTTCAGAATTATGATTAAAATCACTCTAATTTGAATTCTTGTACCAAACGAACCCGAAATGTATGAGTATAATAAAATTGTTAGGGAATAAACATAACAATACATATCATTTTCTAAGATAAATATTAATATATATATTTTTTAATTCGGATATTAAAAGTTACTTACTCTTCGGCTAGAAGAAAAGGTATAATTACTTCTAAAAATGTCCCTCATTTGAATACGGAAATTAAGTAGTATATTGGCGCCTTTTCGATTTGATTTCGTTCTACATGTATGTGTGTAACATATTAGTTTTATATTGCTAAAATAATCTAGCTTCAAATAATTGTGTGGCATATATATTATATAAAGAAAATGCATCTCATTAGTGGAACCTAGTCACTGCCATATGGTTGGGTTGGCTGGTCGGTTGTTATTTTATTGGATATTTGGTTT